GGACTTCAGGCACCTACCACACTGCCTGGCTATTTTTAGAGACAGGGGTCTCGCTCTTGCTCAGGCTGGTTTCTAACTCCTGAGCTCAGGCAATCCACCTGCCTTGGCCTCTCAGAGTGCTAGGATTATAGGCATCAGGCACCGTGCCTGGCCTGAGAGCACTAGTTTTAAGAAAAATAAAAGGGACAGAGGGTACAGACTTGAAGTTACATAAACAAAAACAGTGGTTCTCAACCTTCCTAATGCTGCAACCCTTTAATATAGTTCCTGTGGGTTGTGAACTGCTTAACAAAAAGAGCTAAGGTGCTTATAATGAGTGATAAAATTATGGGTGATTTTTGTTTTTTATTTTCCTTCCTCCCTCCTTCCCCAATCCTGTCACCTTTCTATGCTGAAAACGTATTGCTTCTGTGATGAAAAAAAAAAAAAATAAAACAAAATTTAGTTCAAGGTTCTGTTACCTTCCTACCCGGAACAGCCAAAGAACTGAGCAGAATACATACAAACAGTTATCAGACACTGGACAGTCATCCCTGAGATATGGGAAATCAAAATATAGCCCTGTAATTAACAGAGCTGATTACCTAGAGAGTTTCCAGGCCACAGCCAAGAAAGGGGAACCCCGGGTGAGTCTGGAGGCCTCTGTGTTAGCTAGTGTCCCCAGGGAAAAGAGCTAGAGCTCTTGGGGGAGAGTGACAGAGAACCCCAAGATCTCAGAGGGTCTCTCAAGTCCTCACCAGAATACTGATCTACACACGCAAGGAGGACCCAAGGCTGAGCCAAGAACCATCCAAAGCAACAGTCAGGACAGTGGAAGAGCTCGTGATGGTCTACGGCACTCAACAGGTATTCACTGTCTCATTAACAGAAAAATTAGCCCCAGACTAAAGGTCGCGCTGTCTGGTCCCTTCTAAGCAAGCCCTGAAAGGATCAAAGTGTGTCCAAGGAATTTAAGTGTGCCACAGAACAAAGTTTAGGATTATTTATAGGAACAGAAAAATATCCAGCACCCTTCAAGGTAATATTCATAGTTTGGCATCTAATAAAAAATTGCCAGACATGCAAAGTAGCAGGAAAATATGATCCACAATGAGAATAATCATTAATTAATCACTAGGTCCATCAGAACTGATGTAGGACTAAAGCCGATGTGAGAATCAGCCAACAAGGATATTGAAATAGTTACTATATCTCAAAAGCTCAAGAAGGTAGAGGAACAACTATGTTAAGAGAGACAGAGAAGATTTGAAAAAAGACCCAAGTAAAACTTCCAGAGACACAGAGTAAGGCAATATCTGAAACAAAGAGTACACTAGATGAGATCCATGGTACAGTGAAGAAAGCAGAAGAGAAGACAAATGCTCTCAAAAACATAGCAAAAGAAACTATGCAAAATAAAACACACAGGAAAGGAAAAACAAAAGAGGCCATCAATGAGCACCAGGACAACATCGGTCTCTCTAATACAAATGTAATCGGAGTCTTCACAAAGGGGGAATGGACTTAAAAAATACTGGAGGCCGAGTCTCATAATAATCCAGAATAGCTATTTTGACCTTTGCTGTTAAGAAAATGGAGGTGTCGGTACCCATGAGGTCCTATGGATGGGATGAAGCTGGGATCTGAGCCCTATGACCGAGAAGACTGTCAGAGCAAAAAGTTCTGCCCCTGCCTCAGATGAGAGCTTTCCGGAAACAGAAAAATTCTTTCCCTTCAATTTTGTAGATTTTGAGAGTTTTAGCCTGCCTGGAGAGTACTGGACTGCACCTCCCCTCCCAGGAGTGCCTCTCCCCTTCACTCAAGAGTGAGGACTGGAAAGCTGGGACAGGTAGGCCCTCTCTTCCCGTGAAGATGCCCTCTCCACACGGGAAACTGCAGTCTCCTTCAAGCCATCTGTGAGCCCTGAAAGGTGACTGAATTAGCCACCTGCTTTCTACAATATGAATATTTAAATTTCTTAGTGCTTTAAAATTTGTATTAATAAAGCATTTCTTTAACAGATAAAAAAATGGTAGAAAAATTTCCAAGTCTAATAAACAGTGGCTGATAGGATGCAGTGTAATACTCTAAGCAAAGGAAGAACTAAAGCAGGGGTCAAACCTGAAGCCAGTCGGGATGTACTCCCAGGTCGTGAGAAGGCACAGTTAAGGTAGCTCACTATGCTCCAAGACAGCAAGTCAATCTGTACGCAGGATACTGGTTTCTACTACTGGAAAGCAATAGTGGTGGGTAGGAATTAGCTTTGTAATTATAGGCCTTGGTTTTGTGGTTGTTACAAGGATTCTGACCAGGGTGCAGCACTACCTACCACAAGAGTCACAGGACCTAGAAGGAGAAGTGGTTCTTAAGCAACTCAACTTACCTTTGGGATAAGACCCGTTATCCTAATGTGTGGACTGGGAACCACCTAAATTAAAGTCATACAGGGTGACAGATTATACATCCCTAGCCTAGACCTACTAAATCAGAATCTCTCAGGTGAGGCCCAGGAGTCCGCAGTTTAACAAGTTCCAAGGTCATTTTTACCCACATTAACATTTGAAAGAATGGTCTGGAGCAGTGATTTTCAACCAGTGTGCCATGAAAATGAAAATGCTTAAAGACCATTAATTAAATTATTTTTGAAAGAAGTTCAAAGCACAGTAAGTATATTCTTTTTTTTTTATTCTTTTTTCTTTGATCAACACAATTTAAGTGTGTCACAAAAGTTTAACTATAGGTTATCAACCGTGAGATAAAAATGGCTGAAAAACATGTTCTAGATGTACACTGTCCAAAACAGTAGCTGCTGACCATATGGGCTGTCAAATTTAAATCATCAGAATTAAATAAAATTTACAGTTCAGTTCTTTAGCTGCACTAGCCACATTTCAAGTGTTTGATACCCACATATGGTACATGGATCATTATGAAAGCTTTGAGACAGACTTTTTTATGGTCCATTATTTTACCTCTGAGAAATACAGCCGACAGCATCTTTTCTGATTCACCACTTGCTTGGCTTACTGGTGTTGCTGGGAGGGCTTCATTCTTTTTTTTTTTTGCCTTCAATTTTACATTTCTTGATTTTTGTGTATCTCAGAACTTTGGTAATGACCCACGTATTTGACAACACAGGACATTTCAATCATTGTAGAAAGTTCTATTACACAGCACTGGTCTAGACTTTGTATTTCAGATAAAGATATTGTTTTAGCAGAGTTGGTTCGGCCCAACCATAACCAACCAGACAGATTCTCTTACCCAGAAGATCAGAAAGAGTAAGGACTGGAGAAAATGACCTCCTAATAGCTAGCAGGAATATTTTTTCCATCTTTAGAAACCTGGATTCAGAGAGTTGTGACGGAATTAAACAAACCCCACCTTTGCTCTCCGGGAAGAGCAGTACTCTATCCAGTTGAGGTAAATCACACAGAAACTCTCCCTGGATATGCCTGCCAGCCGGTGGTCATAGTCTTCATCGATGTTGGGATTAAATGTTGGGTCCACGTCAACATAATTTCGATCTGCACACAGACGCAGTCCTTCCTGCATTGTCTCATTAGCCAGCCACTCCTCTAACTTGGAGGAGGTTGTAACATAGTAAATGATACCCTAACAGGGATAAGAGGAAGAAAAATCAGGTTAAATCACAATCTGAATTATCTCCAATGCCTCAATGAAATAAATGTTGATTGTTTCTACTGGTAGTGTAACTCAAAAATATTTCCCTAGCTGAACATTCTCTATATATTTTAAGAATGTTATAATAAAATACCTCAGGCCTTCCTGGATGAAAACACATAATTTATGGTTCAGCAAGGCAAAATAATTCTAATCTATTGATTTTAGAGCTTTTGAATTTAGGATATTTTAAGAGAAGTGGAAAAAAAGTTACTGTGGTACAATTTGAATATTTTGAAATTATTTTGAATAATTTTTCACAGAAAGTTATTAAAATTTCTGGTGATCCCAACTTATAGAACTATAGCCAATGATAAAGCAATAGGAAATGCACATTTAAAACTAACACACACATGTATTTAGATTTGGAGACAGAAAATGCCTTGTATGTGTACATGGCAAACACACGCAATGTAAAATCAATCTCTTTAGCGTTCCTGAGGTTGGGTTTAAACAAATATTAAACGGAAAGCTCAGGGTTCATTCATCCCCATTAGCACAAAAAGGAAGCAGGCAGAGGTAATAGTGTAAGATACAGAAAATTCAGATATGAATCACTAAAGGTTATTAGCATACGTATTTTAGAAATATTGGCTTTGCCCATAAACCTCCAAATCATAACCATGCTGTGTTTCTGTAAACTCCTTAGCAAAGACTAAGCTTGCCTAATGAGAGGTTTGGCCCTTCGCCGTGGGTCTTAGGAGGCAACCTCTAAGGCCTTGGAATGTCCTGCTTGGTAAGAAAGCCTTTGTTCAACTGGGAGCCCAGAGCCACGAAGAAGAAACATGATCTTTGGAGGTTCAGGAGCCTTATGTCAGCCACATGGGTGATCAAACACGTCTACATGACTGCACCCGATAGGACTCAGGACACCGCTGTCAGGCACGCTTTCTTAGCTGGCAACACCCTGTGAGTGTTGCTGGGGAAAACAGGCATCTCCACGACCTGACAGAGGACATCTGGAAACTCCTCACTTTGGTGACTCTGGACAGTGAATGCCCTCTGTGCCTCTTCCCCGGCTGATTTAATCTGTATCCTTCCACTGTTAATAACATGACTATGATGTCTGAGTGTAACAAACCTGCAGAGTTCTGTAGATCTTTCTAGCAAATTACAGAATCCAGAAATTTGCAGCTGGTATTAGAAATGCGGGTGGTTTGGGGGACCCCCCCCAAATTTGCAATACTTTACTCAATTTGTTGAAAGCAGTGCAAACAGGAAGGGCTCAGGAGTGAGGCAAGCCTGGGTTTTAGATCCCAAACTTCACCTGCTAGAGGACCTGGGGCAAGTTAACTTCTGAATCTTTCGTTATGGGTAAAACAAGCAAACAACACTTCTTTACAGAATATAAGTGATATATATATATATTCCTTAGTCCAGTGCTTAAAACATATTATTATTAATGAATGAGTGGAAAGAATTCCATTAAAGAAAGAAACAGCGAGACCTTTGTAAGTATACTGTTACTGACTTTTCTGGATCCTAGAAAATTTAAATCACGACTTAGAAGCAAAGTACAAATAAAAATAAAATTTGATATGTATAATTTCAAATATTATATAAATTTTTATACAATTTATAAGGGCCTCCACTTATTCAGAGATCTAAAGAGGCACACATATGCTTACCTTGACATAGTAAGTGGTGAGTACTTTCCGAAGATCAAAGACTTGAAGCATAGAAGCAGCGCTATTATCAGTGATGCTGTAACCCTCAAGAATATATTTAGTGACTATCACTTCCCAAGCTAACCAGCGCTGGCTAAACGCAGCATTAAATGAAAGCACATGAGGAATATGGCCAGGTTCACAACAGCAAAACCCTTCATCTTCCTCGACCCCTTCAGTAATGGCCTCTACTTCCCGTTGTTGACAGTAGGTGCCTTCAAAAGGGAGAGAGACGAGAATAGAGATCATTACAAAAAAAGGAGAAAAAAATTAGGGACCAGAACAAAAATATTTCAAGGACACAAGGGATTGAAAAAAATACACATTTATGGCAATTTAAAGTATGTGATTGATTTGCCCGATTTATTTAGAGGCAGAGTCTCACTCTGTTGCCCAGGCTAGAGTGCGACAGCATTAGCCTAGCTCACAGCAACCTCAAACTCCTGAGCTCAAGCAATCCTCCCGCCTCAGCCTCCCCAGCAGCTGCGATGACAGGCACTCATGGAATTTTCCCACCTTGCCCTACCAGACTGCTAGGATTACAGGCATGGCCACTGTGCCTGTCCCTTACAATATTCATTAACAAATTATAGCAAACTCCAGTTTATCAGATGCATTTATTTAAATACGCATTTATCTACATATTCCTCTTCTACAGAACTACGATATACATTAGTACATTAAAAGTTCTGGAAATCTGTATAGTAGAGTAACCCCTTTAATTCTGACTCACTGATCTCTAAATTTTTCAACTGAGTTTACAACTGTATTCATATGAAGGAGACGAAAGGGTACAGGTACATCTCCTAAAGGTTTGACTTAAAAAAACCAAACTGAACCATACCAGACACACAAAAGTCTAGACAGACACACAGAACTCTGAAGAGTCTGAGCTCCATTTACCAGTGTCACATCCATGCTTCAAGCAGAGATATTACATACATTGGGTTTATTTGGCTAATAACTTGTAAGCATTCATCATAATCTAATATTAAAGACAAAATTAAATTTTTTCTATTCCCTAGTCCAATAATAATTGTCTAAGATTACGGGCATTTGAGGCTTACCTGCTGATAAAAGTTTCCAGTAATTATAAGGTCTGATTATTCTTAACTAGCAAACAAATCTCTGAAATTATATTCTTTCATACAACATACATATCAAAAAGGAATTTATCAAATTAGTGTTACTGAAGTGAAAATACAAACACAGATTAAATGTAGAATTATATCCACAGCAATCTCATGCTAACAAAATATTTGTTAAGATTCATATTAATTTTATTTTGTCCTGTGTTCTTGCTTCTATTTAATTTGTAAATCCTTTATATTATATGAAGATCATAAAGTGATTATACTTAATTGTACACAGGCACATATTTAAGTTACATTATAATAAAAATAACTTAAATCAAACTGTGCAATAATTTTCTTCCTTAAAAAAATACATACACCATCCACACTTGAAAAACACAACTTTGAGAGAAACTTATGCCACGAAATCCAGCCCCAGTCAACGGTGGTAGCAGTATAATAAAAGATCAGGCTAATCAGGTTATTCTGGCCATGCTAAAAAGCTGTACTATTTAGAATAATCAGACCAGGAAGTTCTAACTTCCTGTCTCTGGATCATTTTGGTAATTTTCACAATATTTCTACATTTTAGATTAAAAAAATTTTTTTTTTTGGTAGGGATGAGGTCTCACTATGTTGTACAGGCTGATCTCAAACTCCTGGCTTCAAGCCATCTTCATGCCTTGGGTTCCCAGAGTGCTGGGATTCCAAGTGTGAGCCACCATGCCCAGGCCTCTTTCCTTATGATTATGTGTGTCACAGTCATCTGTGATCAGTGGCCTCTGATGTTACTAATGTGACATCATGAATCATGCCCATCCTAAGTGAGCAAATGCGTGTGTTCTATTTCACTGACCAGCCATTCCTCCTTCTCTTTTCCTCACCCCGAGTCTTCCTATTTACTATGATATGATAATACTGAAATTAGGGAAATTAATAGTCCTATAATGGCCTCTAAGTTCAAGTTAAACTACAAAGTAAAGATGAGTTACCTGTCTCCCACTTTAAATACAAAACTAGAAGGAATAAGCTTATTCAATGAAAGGAAGAGTTGCACAACTCTACTTTAAACCAAAAGCTAGAAAATTAAGCTTAGTGATACAGGCAAGTTGAAAGTTGAAACAGGTCAAAAGGCAAGCCTCTGTGCCAACCTTCAGCAAACACCACCCCAATCAGGAAGTAGCCATCAACTTCCAGGCAAAATTCTTCATTAGCACAAAAGATTATGACTCACTGAAGGTTCAGATGATCATTAGCATTTTTATAAATAAAGTTTGCTTTTTGTTTTTGAAACAGGGTGCTGCCCAGGCTAGAGTGCCATGCTGTCATAGCTCACAGCAACCTCAAATGGGTGGGCTCAATGATCCTAGTGGGTTAGCCTCCTCAGTAGCTGGGACTACCAGCCATGCCACCATGTGCAGCTAATTTGTCTATTTTTTATAGAGATGGGGTCTCAGTATTGTATTATTCAAGCAGGCCTTGAACTCTTGGCCTCAAGTGATCCTCCTGCCTTGGCCTCCCAAAGTGCTGGGTTGATAGGCATGAGCCACTATGCTTGGCCAATGAAGTATTTTTTAAATTAAGGTATAGTTACTTTTTTTTTTTAAGGATATAATGCTATTGTACATTTAAATAGATAATATAATGCAAACATAACTTTTATATGCACTAGAAAACCAAAAACTTGGTGTGACTTGCTCTATTGAAATACCTGCTTCATTGCAGTGTCTGCAATGGAAACTGCATCATCTCCAAGGTACACTGGTATTTACATGTGCATGTTTCTAACATAATATGGCTGTGCAATTTTATAAAGTATCTTTTGAACCAATAATGGAGATTAAATCGAATCTTTTTGCATCTTTTGAGAGAATATTATATTTTCTCCTGTGACCTTTTAAAATAAAATGAATTCTATTAATTTGCTTTATAATGCTCAAATTCATTTCAAAAATGAAAAATAGTTAAATCTGTGAGGGCTACTTTAAACAAAGTACGACTGCTTTCTGTTTAATTTTGGGATTGGAGATATTTTGCATCTGTAGTCATGAGTAAAATTAAGTTTTTTTTTATGCCAGCTTAGTCATACTTTAGCATCAGCATTCCATCAGTGTTTTTAAAAAGCTTTGAGGAATTTTACTTATTATGTGCTTGAATGTGGGCAGAAGAATTACCCTATTTCCAGATGAAATGTCCCAAGCCTGTTTTTATTTTTACTTTTTTAATTATGATATGAAGTAAGGATGATTCCTCAAGTTTTATGTATTGCTTAACTTTATTCATTTTCTTTCTGTTAAGTTTGTAAATGATAACAGCATAATAAGAGCTGTGTTTTTAGCAGACCACTTTGTCAGTGGTGTATGGATATCAGATGTGGCAAGAGGAAATGCACCATGTTTGGCATCTACCCAATCAAGTCCTTGTTCTCAGTATCAAAATAAGGTAAAAGGGATAACTGAATTAAAACGAGATGTTTTAACTCCACCTAACAACTAAGAATATTTTTAATCCAAATATACTTTAGTAATATATTTTTCTCAGAAAATAGAGTCAATAATAATTTCAAAAATTAGCATTAGTAATTGAAAAAAGAACTTTGAGACTTGGAAAAAGATTCTAGAGCATCTCTGAGGAACTGCTGCCAATTATACCCCGAGTCAGTGAGATCTTTCAGCCTTACCATAGGAAATATAAATGATAAAAATAAATAAAACAATCATGAAAAGTAGACATGCTACAATTAAAGTGAATAATAATCCAAAGGAATCCAGTCAACATAATGAATTTTTGACCTGTAAAGTCAGATTTGGAAAATTGTACTTAGTAAAAGTAATACTTACAAATAAAAAGTTAACATAGTAGAAGTTACAATCAGGAAATTCTGATAAGAAAAAAAGAGACTGATACATTTTTCATGTAAAATTTACATGGAAAAGAATCTTAAGAATATCAGCAAAATAAAAAAAGAAATGAAAAAATATGAATGGGTTTAACTAGTATCTATAGGAAACCCATCAAAAAGTTTCCTTAAATATCACTCATGATTAAGCACCTATCATAATAGACAAATAAAACAAAAAAGATAAAATTGGCTTAATAGAACATGTCCTGGAAAATACATAAAAATGCTCAGCAGATCCAAAAATCTACCTTGCAAAATAATGATTCTCTTTACTAATATTTTGCAGGTAAAAGCAGAAGGAACAGGGAATAACACTGTACAGGAAAGACAATAACCAAGGAGCACATCAACATTGGAACAAGAACATAGTAAGGACCCATGAAAGCTCTAGACCGAGGAGAAAGGAGAAAAGGGCTACACACTTACATTATCCAGTCATTCTATAAACTGACACGGTGCATGACACAGCACTTCCTGCGTGTGAGAGGTGCTGGGTACAGAATGATGAATGGAGCAGACGTGACTCCTGTTTGGGGGAGAATACGCCGACCCCAGAGCAACAGACCACAAACTTCACTCCCAGACCAAGCTAAGAATGGTTTTCATATTAATATGTTTAAGGGATGTTTGAAAGAAAAAAAAAAAAACAACAAAGCATATGCAATAGAGACTGTGTGCATGGCTTCTAATCCTAAAATATTTACTAGATGGCTTCTAACAGAAAAAGTTTGCCAACCCCTGGGCTAGAAAAAAACTAAACTTTATTTAAAAAAAATTTTTTTTTTTTTTACTTTTAAGTAAATTTATTTCAGGTTAATGTGAGGGTCAAAGCAACCAGGTCAAAGTATTTGATTTTGTTAGGTAGAGTTCATCTGTGATTATGTCCCACACACAAAAGGTATGCTAACCCCACCCCTACCTCACACCCATTCAGTGAGAACACCCCAACCTCCTTCCCCTTCCTTGTTGCCCCTTCACCCAACTTGAATTGAAATGAGTTTTTCTCCTATCCACTCACTAGATCATCTACTAGCTTCATATTAGTAGTGAGTACATTGGGTATTTGCTTTTCTATTCTTGTGATATTTTACTAAGAAGATTGTGTTTCAGCTCCATCTGGATATTACAAAAGATGTGAAGTAACCATCCTTTTATGGCTGAATAGAATTCCATGGTGTACACGTACTACAAATTGTTAATTCATTCCTGAGTTGATGGGCATTTAGGTCGTTTCCACATC